TTTGTACAGATGTACATACACTAAATAAACACTCTCGTGTTCCAGTTTATGCATACGTAGTTTTAGCGTATGGAATGTCTGTATATAATATAAATGAACCGTGAACAAGCGGAAGTCACTTTGCAAGAGCTGAAAACAAAATTACGCGATGTTTCGTGTAGAATTAAGCTAGCGTTTTCGGTTCAAAAGCAAGAAAATCTGATAGTTATATTAAACAAAGACTGATCCAAGTACATGTTGCTCGTCCTACTTTTAAACTTTCGAGCTTTATCCATGTGTGGTGACGATACCTAAATAATAAATCCAATGGAGAAACGATAAATCGATAATAGACGAATGTTCAAATTGAATAAAGTTTGAGCGAAATAATCAAAGTCCGCCAGCGTTGATAGAAATCGCATCAGAAGAATTAAGCTATCGGGCAATCCATCAACGAGCAATACGGTTTAAAAATAATTTGATATACGTGCCTGGACGCATCTATCATCGCGTTAAATGCACGAGCTTTCAACGCGTATATTCGCGATTCTTTTAACCCCGCGGACACCGGCCGAGTTCACTTGAATTAATTAAACGATCGCGCGAACTATTTCGATGTGGCGAAAAGAAGGGAAACACATGCTGCGGTGAGTGAAAATTATTCGACCGTGAATTATTTTTTATCGTGAACCGAATATGTATATCCATCCTCGATACCTCTTTTTTTTCTTTTTTTTTTTTTTTTTTTTTTTTTTTTTTTTTTTGTCGAAANTTTTTTTTTTTTTTTTTTTTTTTTTTTTTTTTTTTTCATTTTCGTCGAAACGCATAACGAGTGTTTGTTCTCCACGCGCGGCGCGCCGCGCAACATGCAACGCGGAAAAAATTTCGCCGAGCCAAGAGGAATATCACTGTCGTCAGTACGGACCGTACCCTTCACCACCGTTCCGTAAAATCATCGCCAAATGAAAACTGTCGGTATATTTATCGAAAATATACGCCGTCAGTTAAAACGTCCCAAACGCGTTGATAAAACCTCGGTCGTTCGCCTCGAGAGGACGAATCAAAATGAAATAAACGCGATCGTATCCGCGAGTTGTGATTGTTTTATTGATTGTTACATAAAGATAAAGACAAGATTAATTTTATTACGTTTGAAACGAAAAAAAAAAAAAAAATTTCTTTTCGCTGGATTCGATTTGGCCGAGTCATTTGATCTCGATTGTTGCAACTCGATCGATTTCGATATAAAATACGTGAATAAAATAGCGTTTTTTTTACAGTGCAGGGACGAACGAAATTCGTGTGGAAAACCCTTTGCGATTTGAAATTAAAATTCTCGTCTCTGGCGTGCAAAACATCGCGAGACGAACGTACGATTTTCGGCCGCTAAAAAAAAAGGAAAATCTTTACCCCCGACAAAAGGAAAAGAACTCGCATGCCGATGAACGGTCGCTTGACCGTTCGATATTGCGCTGGTTGAAAACCAACTCGTAAAACCGGTAGACAGATTTACTAACTACGGGCTCTGTCGGATTAGAAATAAGTGCCGCAATAATGCGCGTTATGTCTGCTCGTCATTAATGTGCCGGGAACGCCAGCAGCATTCCAAACGACTGCGGTCAACGCAGAGTATCCGTTCTTTCTCGTTCGCTCCGATATCGAACGGGGTATAGGTATTTCGCGTGTGTGCTTCGACATTCGCGAAGTCACGACCACATTACTGCGAGAGCAGTCTACTGTTGGAAAGGAAATATTCGTTCGCGTGTTTAGAGTTGGTAATCACTCTGGGAAATCACGTTTTGATTCAATTGCAACCCCCAAAACTAAACCGGCCGATGATAACGGAGAGAAAAACCAGCCACACGCTAAAAATACTTTGGAAATCTTGACTTCTATAGTTTTTCATTTGGACGTAAAATCAAACTTTCATGCAAGTGATATAAATATAACATCGGCGATTTTTATTTCCTTGAGCCTCACACGAACACTATTGTATGTGCAAAATTGTACGATTTTACGCTGTCCGCGTACGAGCTGCTATTTTCAAAAACATTTATAACATCCATAAATCAAACATATTAATTCGAACACTCTTTCTCTATGACCAATCTATTTCTGACCCGACGATCCATTTTGTATCCAGTTTTTGAAACTGAACGCACCGATTGTCCGTGATTTGCTGATCAAGTACCGCAGATTGGCGAAACACTTGTTGCTAAAATCGCGAGCCTGAAAAATATCGTTCCGCTTATGCGAGCGCAGGTGCCGATTTGAGAGATTTTACAATTAAAAATGACAAACGACGACGGGAAGCAAGGCATTAGTCCGGTGTTATCAGTTATCAAAAGAAACGAGCGACTAACGAAGAATTAATAACCCCGACAACGATTTTCATCTGATACGTTTTAAACTGCAAATGAAAGATTGCGCGAACAAACGCCGTAAAAATTGTACGTACGTGCGACGTAACGACGCGTCGTACGTAGCAATTGCGCAAGATACGTTTATTAATTTCTTTTTTTTTTTTTTTTGGTAAACAAGAACATTAATCAACAACCACGAATTAACGTGCCATCGTCTAAATGGAGCGGTGGCAATCTGTAATCCTTCCGTTACAACAACTTTAATAAAATATGGCCCGCACTAGCGCCGATCAATCTTATCGCCTCGATAAGTGACGAGTGATTAGTGGTTCTTTTTACGCGAGAAAGTCAGTGCGGTCAATATGCCAATACCAAGCGATAAACGAGATTCGAGATTGCACAGTAATTTCATGTAGGTACGTGCATGTCTATTTGTGCATTTCGAGGTCGAACAAGCACTGTAAAAGTTTTTACTCGTAGTACGTTCGATATACATATTTTCAAGTCGAAATCTTCGCTCGATGAAAGTCGAGTGAACTAGCAAGTTTACCGAGTAATCAAACTTTTTCGATTATCATTTTTAGCCAATTCTCTTTGTCGTTGTTTCTTCTTTCAATCAATTCCTACGATAAAGCACGATGGATATGTGTACAAAGGAAAAAAGGAAAGAGAAGAAAAAATCCAAAAATGGTCGCCGCGATAGCGATGTTCTGTAATTGTAGGGTGTCGAAGAATCGAGTAAACTACAATATTAATAACAAATATGTACTATACTTGCAGGGACACGCAAGTTCGCGTAGAAATTTTCACGCGACCAGAGTTGTTTCGTAGTACACGGGCGTAGTTCGTTCATAATTTCCCATTGAGATGGAGCAGCGAAACACAAGGAAACCAGAAATACCAGGCTTGTGCCTTCTGGCAAGTTGCTATCTAGTGAATTAGCGTTTAATCGTGGAATCGAACGCAGCCAAAGTTTTACACAGCGGAACCTTCATTACCCGGGAACTCGCGTTATCCGGGGCTATATTTATTTACTGCCGGTACCGAGCATTCTGTTACCGGAGCATTATTCCATTATTCCAGCATTTCTTTATCCACGATGCTCCCTCGATCCTCTCCTCTGGCTTTTCCAGCCAGAAATGCTTTGCCCGTGGTTGATTGTAATGCGATAATAATACCGTAACATAATGGCGCGTATGTGCATAATTTGATGTAAATAGGGCTATCGCGTTACGGGAACGTTGCACGTTAAACTAAAGAGAGGTCGAACGCGAAATAATCGGCTAGGATTATTTAGCGACGAGATTGGGAGAGCAAAGGGGGATCGTCTTTCGCAAAATTAAATTTTGGAGAAGCGCGTGGAATTTCGATTCGTATTTACGAGCTGAAGAAAGGAAAACGACAGGTAAAAACGTAAAGATCGGCAATTTTTTCCAGGCACGAACGGGGAACGTACGTACGCATGTACGTGTGTGACGCGTCTTCGTGATCACGTTTGCGACTTGACGCGAAATGAATTCAAATCGTCGTGCAAACAACACGGACGAGAACGGCGGAGTAACGTTATGTCAATAGACGAGGAAGAGGGTCGATGGACAGTCGGTGACGGACAGGTCATAAAGCGACCAGAAAATCGCGATTAAAATCCTCGTCCAAGCATTAGCAAGTCAAAGATGTCGAACGCGTCGCGGGAGTTCGTTCTCGAAAATTTTGTAACGCGAGTCGGGCTCGATCGGAGTCGAATTTAAAATGCTAAACGAATCTGGCGAGTGTCAATCGTCAAGGGGAGAAGGAGGAGGGACTGGCCGCGACTCCGAATGCTCGTTACCGGAAACGAGAGGCCATGTAATCATCACCGGCTGGTCGGACGATTTATTACCAGACAGTCGTCGGCAACGTTCGCGTTCGCGTTCGCGTTTTCGCGACCAATTGGAATTTCCACGGGCGTTATCCACCGTATGATCGGCGAACGGCGTGGCGCCACGCACCCTTGCCGGGTCACGGATCAAAGCGAATCTCCATGGTAAATCGATTTTTCACCCGACTACTTTTTCGACCACCTATTCACACGTTTCGACGGTGAATTCAAAAGAATCGCCACGTACGAGCGCGCGCGAGCACGCGACAAACTCCGAGTGCACGTTTGTTTATGTGGGTCACGCGCGTAACGCGCGCGTCTTCTAATTCGAGCGGTAACTAGGTTATTCGGTGACTCGTGTTGGAGAAAAGGCGAGATGTCTTTTTTTCTTTCTCGAATCGATTGGCGACGAGACGAGCGGCTTTCAATCGGAACGTGAGCCGAGAACCGTGTTTTCGTTCGTCGAGTTTCGGAGGAAACTTCAATTCAGTCGATTAAGGCATAACCTTGGCGAAAGATAACGTTTGTCACGCGTCTCTTCGACACAGCAGCGTGTTGCTCTTTTTTATTTTACCGCGTTCCCAGCAGAGACGTAAACATACACGTTTGCTGATAACTTCCGTAACAGGCTCCGCTACGATTATTTATACATACGTTGCATTTACGTGCGAGTATTTACGGAAGAGTACACGGTGGTGCGAGGCAGGGAGAAGAAATAAAAGAACGAAACACGTATCAACACGCTGGTGACGAGAAAATCGTTGCAACACGCGGCGGTGTGACGAGGAAAATCGACTTACCTAAGAGTTAACTGGCCAGGGGGAACGTCCTCGCGGCAATCTCGTCGTGGCTGGACATCCACACACTCTTCTGGCTCCACACTGGACACACGCGAACGGAAACGTAGTCGGCGAACGGGCACGAAACGAACGAACGCACAACGGAGGGATCCCGAGATCCCGAGAACGGGCGATTCGTCAGCGCGATACACACACACATACACACACGCACACAAACAAACAAACACACAGCGCGTCAAACTCTCAAGGGGGAAAGGAATTCGTGCGCGAAGAGGTCGATTCTCGAAGTTACGAGTATATATGATATACGTGATACACGTAGGAGCACGGCGTGTTTGACAGATGACAAGTGTGTGGCGTCGCGAGGAGGCAAGAACGAACGTATGTACGTACGGCGAACCCTTTCGCGGAAACTCTCGATATTCACACGGCGAGAGACCGGCTCCGACTGTCGAGCGACGCCTGACCGAGGCCTGCTAGCCGCCGCTGCTGTCAACGACACGCGGATTCCGTGCCCTCTCTCGTCCCTTCGCGCGGCTCTTCCATCGAACTGCGACTACGCTATCTCTTGCCTTCGACCGGCGCGGCGTCGCGACGCCACCGACCACTCACGAGTCCTCGCGAGCCTCGTCGAACAAACGAAACAATCCAACGCGCACGCGCACACGCCCGTCACATTAGTGGCGCGTCGAACGAATTTGTGCGCGATTCAAACTCTGCATTTTTCGTTTTTCACGTTCGTTTGCATCTGCTTTCGGCGCGAGCCGAAGGTGGCCGAAGACTGGAACGCGCGTGGCTGATCTGGAAACAGAAAACGACGACACCCTGAAATTTCCTTCGAAGATTTCATTCTACGAAGCTAAATCTAGTTTACTCTCTAAATAAAGTATAATTTAGTGTTTTTCTTTTTCTTCTTCTTCTTCTTCTTTATCGAGCGACCAGCGATGAAACTTCGCAACCTCGCGGAAAGACAATTATTTGCAGACATTTCTCAAATACGTCCTCCCGTACGTTTCTCATCTCATCGGTCAGGTAAGTAAGTAGATCAGATTTAATCGTCGAAGCCTCGTTGACAATTTGCTCCCCCTACAGCATGCATACGAAATGAGCTGGATTACGTAATGCCTGACCTTGTTTCTTCGATTAGAAGCTCCACCGCGCCACCATGGTTGCTATTAATCTTCCCGATAAACCAATTACCATCGCGAAAACCGGTTGAACTGTAAGCCGCTTAAATATGTACACGTTCGTACGTGGCGCTCGGCCCGGCAAGAGCTTTCGAAATTTTATTAACGCCTCGTGCCACATACAGGGTGAGATTAACGCGACTCTCGTCGCGAATTCAAACCGTATTCAACTCCAGTATACTCGTATCCACCAACTATACGTATGTCCATCACGCGTATATCCGTCGTTTACCTACAAATGAACGTAATTTCTTCTTAAATGTCGAGAATGTCAATCGTAAAGTCATGAACGTGAAAGTACAACAGTCCAACACAGAATTGGTGTGACACGACGATGAAAGAAAGGAGTGTACGTAAACGAAGAGCAAGAAGAAGAAGAAAAAGAAGAAGAAGACGGACTGTCGAGTGTCCCGGAGCGGTTAGCCAGCCGCGTAACCGTGACGAAAGAAATCGAGCCATTACGAACGAGCCGTTCCGCAGATTTAAATTCTAATTCGAGGTCGGTAATGGTAGGGCTCGGTTAAGTTTGCCAGGCGAGGCGAACTAATGCCTCCGCCAGCGCGAGCCCCCGAAGGAATTTGTAAATTCGACGCTGGAAGTTTTAATCGTCCATCAGGGAAGAAACGAGGAGCGCCAACTTTTCGCATAATAATTCTTTCCTACCCTTCCTGTGGGTACGAGACCCGCGCTTCCGTCGTCCCTCTTGCATCGGGGCCCTCGCAGCCCAGGGAAAATGAGCAGGAACGATTTGAGTAGGCGAATGAATATTCCTTCCTCGCCAACTTTGCGCGCCTCGCGAATGAAATAATCTCGAAAGGCATTCGTATCTTTTTCTTTTTTCTTTTCTTCGGAACTGTTTGGTCAATTCGATCAATTCGTTAATCGGATTTTTTTTTGTTAAGCAGTCACATCTTTCTGATTTTAAATTTATGAACAGAACGATAATCTACAGCTGACACAAAAGTTTAATTTCTTCTTCTTCTTCAAAAAAAAAAAAAAAAGGAAGATATTCTCTCTCTCTGTCGATGATAAAGAGAACTTGCAATAAAATTTTCATTCGATTCACAAGTTGTATAATTCTACGAGCTGAATCCTTGACGAATAGTCATGTAATTAATAAGTTATGGAACCAGTCCGCACGCCTCGAGTCTTTCGAAAAGCAGCGAAAGATTTCGTAGGGCAATCCCAAGGGTCCGAAACAACTTTCGAACTTCTGGAGGCACGGATATATTCCTGAGAGATATGGGGAGATTTTAATTCTAAAATATGGCCAGAGAGCTACCATTACATCCTATTGCAAGCTACACCGTCGTCGTTTAACGTTCCTCGAACATTTCCATACTTGCTAAATGCGTTTACAATTCTTACAGAATTCATTACTCACAATCTGCAGCTTTCCTCTCGATAGAGCGGAGAAGAGTGAGAAAGACGGTCTGTTTGAAATGAAATTAAGCATAAACTATCTGACGTGTAACAGGTTAATAAAAAAAAAAAGTCTCGTGAAATTATAGCGGTAAAGAAGCGTGAAACAAAGTCCGAAAGTCCGGAATAAATAACCATGCAATAATGATATCGACTGCCCATCCAGCGGGGCCAAGTTCTGCGAAGTACGCGCAGACCTCTAGTTGCTACTCCAGATACTGTAGCCTCACTTGGGAAATCAAACGTTTCTCGTTGGCTACTTGATAAACGTTACGCGGAAAGATCTGCGGGATAATTGCGTTACATCGACTCCGGAGGAAAAAAGTTGCTGTTGCAAAACTGGAGGAAGATAGATTTGAATCGCCTGTATCATTTTTTGTCCGGCACCGTAGCCTGCCGTCGAAATTGGTCTTTAATCAAACTTTCAAATACGTACGTACGTTTTTTTTTTTTTCATTGTGATAACACACGTGCAACATTCACGATCGTGTGTTTAATTTTACGAGATTTACGCGTTTCTTCAGTGGCTGCGCAAGTCGCTGTTCACTTTGTAGAAAGGCTGTATTTCAGTTTTTACAAGAAACGTTTTCTTTGAAACTTCCATTGCATCTCCGTAAAGTGTTTGACTATCCCGAGGTCACGGGTTCAGTGGCCGGTTGCAGGATTCTCTTAAACAGAACTGTTTCTCTCAACATCGAGCGGTTTACTTTTTACGAGAAGCTGCTGCAATCCGCGATGTAGTTGTCCACTTACATCTACGTAATCCGGGAACTCGGTTTTGTTCGGTCGGTGAATCGAGGAAATTTGCAGCGTTCACGCAGCTGATTTGATTATCGTTTGAACAATCTTTTGAAAGCGAGATCGATGTCGAAAAAATTAGATTTGAAATCGAACTCGCATATGCAAAACAGAAACTCCAAATTGTCGTGGGAGAGCTACGTGACATTCTCGAGGGGCAACAAAAGTAAATTGAATTCATTCGCGATTCGTAAGAAGGCGGGCGAAATAAGCACGTTACAGAAACTGAAGGCCATTACGCACGTTTGCAATTAACGCTGATTGTTATTCGAGTGTCCTAACGCTATCCTAACGAAATTCGTTCTATGCAGCTTCTTAGCCGATATCTGCCACTTAAAATGCATAGCGTCTCCCGATCGAACGATACCGAAAGTGTTTCGGGAATGTGCATTACCGATACATCGAAAATTCAGTGTTATCGAGATGCAAATAGAAATTTGCTGCCGCGTTCCTTGCGCAAGCAAATTTCTGTCGTTCGCGTATCTTCTGCTTTTATTTTGTACATATAGAACGAGGAGATCTTAAATTATATATTATAGCTCCAGAATAATTAAAAAGCTTCATCGTAATATTCCCCGTGTGAATCATAAAAGAGGCGAGCCTGAAAGATTAAATATTCGGCCAAGACCTTCGACGTGTGTAACGCCAAAACATTGATACATATTTAAAACTAAACTCGCCACACACTGCCTACTACACTACTCAATCCTACGCCACTCTTCTCCGCTCAACGATTAGATTCACACTGTCCGCTCCGACGCCTGAATCCACGCTGACCCCAGTTTTCTTCGACATATACCCTTGTTGTCACACGTTCTTTTTCCCTTTCTCTCTCACCCTCAATGTTATATTATTTTACAATTGTTGTAAAATGCCATCTGTAGACACGGGTCATGCGAACGTGACCTACAGTAGCAAGAAGTTTTTGGCGCGCTGACAAATACGCACTTGAATTGAAAAATATTAAGAACGATCAAATTACATTGGTAACGGAAGACTGTCGAGGCGAGTGTAGATTGGTTTAAAGACGAAACAAAACGGTGATGGGGGGGGAAGGGGACAGAAGGAAAAAGAGGAACGGACACCGTCTTTTGACTGTGAGCTCTGCGTCGATACTATCGAACGCGATCCTTCCCTTTGAAGTTCCACGGCACCGCCTCAGTTAGTTATTGGCACGTGTGCGAGAAGCATCGTTCAGATTTCGAGTGGCAACAGTACTGACTTAACGAAGAGCTGCCTTTCTTCCGTGTTTTCGTCATGAATGTTTGCGAATCGATCGAAAACATGTAAGAATCATGTCAAAGCATGATCATTTTTGTGAATTCGAAAGAAATTCAATCTGCTTCGCGTTATCGAATCAGCTTCCGGATGAAAAGTACCTGCATTATCTTTTCTTCTCAGTGTTTGTTGCAATTTCTATGAAAGTTTGCGCGACGCTTCAAAAAGAAAGAAAAAAAAAAAGAGAGAAAACTGCTTTCGCGTGTTTTATACGTATCTTACTCGAGCTCGAGTGGTTTTACTGCTCTCCTTTGGTTTTTGCGTTGTTGTAAAATCTTTGAATTTTGGTTACCAGTTCAGAAAGCAGCGACGAGGATTTCGTACAACTGGTACGAAGGTTGGAGAGAGAAGAGAACAGAGCGACGTACACTTGCGACAAGTGCAAATACGAAAGTAATCGACAGTTTAACGTCCAACGTCACAAGCAGAGGATCCACTCGAAGGCAAAGTTGAACATCTGTTGCGGTAATTATCATGAGTTTCCAAAACTCGTTCGTGTTCTAGAAAATCTGATTACTCTTGCACTTTTCGGCATCTCGAGGTAGAATGAAAGTTTGCAATTTCGTACGTAACGCCTTCTAGCTTCTTGGATAATGATTAGAAGTTTGTTTTTTTTTTTTTTTTAATTCTACGTTGATTAAAAAAATTTCTATCGGTGATACTCATTTGTGTGGTCGATACATTTAGTTACGTATTGCCAATAGATGAAATGATCAAAGTGCATGGAAAATCGAGAAAGTAGTCGATTGTTTGATAAATGCATACGTAGACTTTGTCTCTCGATCCGAAATCGGCTCGATTATCTTGCACAATGCTCTCTTTAAATTTAAATAAACCAATCTCTGAAACGTAGCGTCGAATTGTAGTTTTATTGTATTATATGTTGCATGTAGTCAGATAATATCTTCTAGGGTGCTTTTCGAATAACAATCTTAATATTCTGGCTCTAATCTTATCTCGTGCACTGTGGTAGACCTCGCATATCGCTCTTTGAGTTGACGTGTAAATCAATTGACACTTAATCCAATCTAATCTAATAATTGTTAACTATTTATAACTTGTCTCGATCTGCTAGTATTATCAATTATCGGGTAAGAGAGTCGAGATGATCGAAACTAGATACATTTGAAATAAATAACTCGATACGTAGTTAAAGAAAATGGTTCGTTTCTTCCTGTCACAGGTGAGACCTTTTGCACGAAAGGTGATTATTACGTTCATTGCGAGCAAATCCATCCGGCGACGAGGTCTCACGCGATCATCTCGAGAACCAAGTACAAAATCGCCAACAACCTGGTGCCGATCGACGATCGAAATGATCTCGCGCGTGAGTGCGAGAGACGACAGGGAGCCAACCCTTTTTACAAAATGCGATCAAGATCGAGGAATTTTCGCGTGAAGGATCAGACGAAAGTAAGCTTGCAGTACTCGGTGAATTACATCGAGAATGTCGACATAGAGAACATACCTCTGATAAATTTCCTCACCGATCATCGACTCAAGTCCATATCAAAGCTGCTAGTCAAAGCGAACAAGAAACCGAGCAGCCAAGACAAGAAGCAAACTTTAAATGTCGCGAGCTCGTCGGCGCAAAACATCGAAAAGACGACGTCCGCGAACAACAATACGACGGAGGAGAACGTTCGGACGGAAGTTGTCGACTCGTCCTCGCTTTCGCTCGAGTTGCCGACGAAAAAGCTTATTTTGCAGCGGTTCAGGTTGAACGAGTTTCAGACGACTTTCCACAAACAGAGTGCTAATATCGATCGTAATGAAGCAAATTTAGCGGAAAAGATGGAGGAAAAGGCGACGGTCCCGGCCAAAATTAAGCGTGTAATGGATGAGACGAATAAGGAAAATGTGTTCACATTTAGCATGAGGCAACAGTTAAATATACAATTGAACACCAAGTTCGAGCTGCCTGTGACGAGTCACCCATCGAGAGTATTCGAAACTCACCGATTTTGACGAGTTCGAGAGATTTTGAAATTTCCGAGGGTGAAATCCTTTTCATACCAAAGAGTAGTAGCGTACACGGTAAGATACGATGCGTGTGATACGATAGACGGTACATATTTAACAAATGTGATATGATACGTACATATTTAATAAACCTATGATAAATTAGATTTTAAGAGAGATGACTAATATAAATTTTTACTCTACTTTTATGCCTCTTTGTTGGAAACGAAGCACGAACGTGTGTTTTTGTAATAAACGTGTGACTCTCGTGTCGATCCTATCTCGAATCACTCAACTTTGTTCTATGGCTGTTATTTTAATAAAGTGCACTTTAAGACTGAAATTATGCAGCGAAATGCTTGTCTTGCATAAACCCACACCTGGCTCTCCCTCATCCTCGAACGTTCTGCCTCCAGGAGAGAAAGTACGTCACTTTCTCGACACGTCAGCATTTTGTTTAATACCGCCCATTCTAAACTCTTTATAGCCAGCGAGCAAACGAAGTTCCGAAACTCCCCTTTGAACGCGCTCTCGGAAAAATGTTTCATCGTCGAGTTCGTAATGCAGATTCATTAGCACGGTAGATTTCATTTTTGCAAGGTAATTTGGAAATTCAGTATTCACGTACACACGCATACACACCAGCGACCTAGTAGTTTCTGTCTAAGAACGTAAGAACTAAATGCGAGGGGGCGAGAGTTTTATAAAAAAATATCTTTTCTATTTCTCGTTTGTTCTGATCGACAGTTCTGAACTTCAGATTCTGAAGTAAAATCGAACAACGCTGTTGTAACATTCGAATATTTTCCTTCCGCGAGATGAAATTTAAATTAAGCTTCGTCACCGCGATTACGCGTTTAAGCGACAAAATGAACAAGGAGAGTAAGTAATTCGTTGTTGGGGGGCAATTGCGACATGGCGTGCTCCCAAATTTTCCGCAACTTCGGAAATACAGGGTCCGCTGAGCCGGAGATAGTTTCGTAAACAACACTTTCCGATTCTCTCGGAACGCTGGTGTCCAGAGATTGAAACAAGCATTTTGCGAATATTCCCAGTCAGATTTTCATTAGACTTTCCAGGAGGAATTCCCAGAGGGAATCGGATTAACCAATTTCAGTTTCGACGAGAATAGAAGAGATTTTAATTAGCAGCGCGGATAGGTATGGCAGGTCGTGAATTTGCTAACATTGTACATATATATATATATGTATAGCTATATCTAATCGCGCGGCCGCAATTCATCGAAAGATCAAATCTCTAATGAGGAAAAAGGTTACGATGAATAATTCGAATTTACTTGCACCGCGAATAGAAATGATACCATTGAAACAAATATATCTGGAGAGGCGACCTAAATACTTTTGTTACTATCGCGTGTCATTTATCGATGAATCGTACGTTTTGATTCGTCATAATTGGAAGAAAAAGATGGACGAAAAACTCGACGTGAGAAAGAAACGGACCGAGATTGTTATGCGTAATGAAATTTGACAAAGGTACAACGCAATGTCCAAAATCTAGACACGAGGGAATTTGAACGTACTTGCTAATTATTTGGTTGTTGAGTATCTAACGAACCGTGACTACTCATTGTCCGGTTCGTTAACACCCCGACCTCACATACACCCTTGCTGGCACACAAACGGAACGAGATAATTACTCGGTCGAATTGTAACATGTATCATATTCCATCTATTCTGCGTTTCGAAAATAATGTGCTCCTTGTCGCGAATGTATTGTAGTAACGATGACGCGTTCTTATTGGTGAAATAATATAAGTTGGGAAATAATTAATTATTTATCTCGTAGTTTGACAATCGATCGCATCCTATAAAAAAAACAAGTTGCTGTCAGGATAATAAGTAACGATATTATTGTTCGAAACATCGTTTACAGAGGTTCTTACGTGACAAGTAGAAAAGTCTGTTAATTCACGGTACATTTATCCAGCGGAAGTTTCATTATCGCGCGACAAATGCGCAAGTGGTAGTGGAGATTTTGTTCCACTGAAAGGACTGATTTCGGTGAACGCCGAAATTCCGAAAACATTGATTGTTTCATCGCCAATCTGCGATATCCGATAAATTTAATGAAGCGGTCGAGAAACAAAAAAGAAAAGAAAAAAGGAATGAGATGATACTTGTAGAAAAGCGCGGCCGTTGCGACTTCACGTGGATATCCGGGGGATATTACGAGCAAGGGAGCAACGTGGAGGAACCTAAACGAGTCTAAAGTACCCACTTCTCTCCTACTCAAGCTCGTTTCACAATGCGAGCGTAACCGAGTGTTTTCCTCGATGCTTCTTGACCGAGTTTCCGATGGTTTCGTTGTGGACACAGAGACACGTAGGTCCGTGGATCCTCTAAATACGACATGCATTCACTGACGAAAGTATCCACCCTAGTGAAGCTAGTGTGTGTACTCTGCAACTTTGTATGTATTTCGTTCGTCTACTATTCGGCAGGAAATTTATTTGTCGATTCGCAAGTACACCTCGCGAGAACTTCGACCGACTAGACTGTATGAACAGCTTATAAATTTTTCATCGCTTTTTCTCTCGGGCGTGCGAATACTCGGCCAAGACCGGTATCTCGGCATCGATCAGAATCGGTTGACGTCAGAAGAATTAACTTTTCACTCGTATTTCGTTACGCGAAATTGCAAATATCGAGTTACAGCAACGCTTTTCACGATTGAACGCTCCTCTTTTTATATTAATTGATCTTGTAAAGAAGACACGGCGCACTAAAAAATTGACACTTGTCAAAAAGGAAACTATAGCCATTTATCAATGATAATTTTCTAAAGTGTCATCGAACCAAAGTTCGTCGGAAGAACGAAACAACACGGTCGAAGGGGCCGGCGTATTCATGCCTAACGTAATTGTTACGGGATTCGTACTCCGATCTTTAGTTTAATCAGATAATGCAGTTTACCGGATACCGAGGCAACCGATGCACCGTGGAATATTACTGACAGCCACCCAACACGCCCTGGCATGGGTGATGTATTATTAATTATGCCAACATGGAGCTATTAGACCAAGACAATAGCCTGTAATCTCCATGTACTGAGGTAATAGCACATTCAGAGACGTACAGGGCGTTCTTCATCGAACAATGATACGTACCGTGCTCTATTCAAAGAGCACATCGGGCAATCTTAATGAAAGAACCTGTGGAATCTTCCCCTCTTGTCGTTATACAACCTTTTCAACGCGAATTCCAATGCGTGTTAAACGAAGAAGAATCCGTCATTAGCCAAATTTGATCAGCAATTCAATTAATCGACGTTTAACGAACGTGTCTTTCCCTGTCTTTAACGTATTATCCGTAGGCACGTGCATTTGTCATGTCTGATTCAGTTAAATTTAGCAGAGCAAGTTAATTCATGAGTGCGCACGAAAACGCAACGCAACTTTAAACCGACACTCGCCGTATATTCGTCCAGTAAAAATTGCGACGCGCTACATTATCTACAGACTGCGCTGCTCTGGAATATATTACTGCGCAACATTGTTCCGCTACGCATTATTCTTCTACACGTGCTAATCTTTGTTCTTCACCTGTACGTAGTTGATCTTTTTTTTTTTTTTCTTTTTCTTTTTTTTAAGTACTCGCATCTCCCTTCAACGAGCCGAGCGTTTTCCATTGGAGATCTAAAATCTAAACTGCATGTTGCGCTCTTCAACTTGACAAACGTCTCAATTTTATACTCTTTTTTTTTTTTTTTATAATTATGAATGTCGTAAGAAAATAAGAAACGCGGATTCTCTCTCGTTCTCAAGAGTTCGATACGCGAAGATACATGAGGATACGTCGATATGTGAATTAACAAGGCGGATCACAATTTCTGACGGACTCTGGAGTGGCACTTAGGTGCAATTTCCAGACGATCGTTGCAGTCGGCTGCTGCTGCAACGCTTTATCTCCGTCTAACGAAGCTGCGGTCCGAGATTGCGGCACGTGGAACATCAGGAACTCGTTAGTGCGTGAAACATCCAGGTATTCCGGAAACTAACTCCATTTACCAACGGTACCACGAACCTCGTGGTGTAGATCAGAGAGGCCTGACCGAATTAGAACGTTTCGTCCCTTCGAAACGTAATTTACGTTTCCACCAGAACGGATTGATTTGCGGCGATTTCCACCGGCGGTGGAAACCGAGTCGAAAATAATCGCGACAACTCGACGAATCTTCGCCGAGGTGAAGCTCGACGCCCACTTCTTTTTTTTTTTTCTTTTTCTTTTCTCTCTCTCTTTTTTTCTTTTTTTTTTTATTCGTTTCCGTGTCGAGAGGGTCGATCGATCGACGACGAGGGAGAGACAAAAGTTTTCTTTCGAATTAGTTTGCATCGATTTAAATTGGCTTTTCGACGACGAGCGTAAAACCCCGTTGTTTTGCATTTGTTTTCTACAGCTGTGCGAGTAAATATTCTCGCTGTGTTTGCGTGCGAAACGAAGCTTCCCTAACAATAAATAAATCGTACGAATTTACTTGTTTACAAGAGGAAAAAAAAAAGTGAAAAAAGAAAAACAGTTACACGCTCCTTCGTTTACCAGTTTTATTTTTTTTTTCTTTTTTTTTTTATAAAATTTCATTCGAGTGTTCGTCGAAACGGATCGAACGTTCGTTAAAATAAAGCGCAAGTCCCCTCGACCTCGTTTAATCCCTTCGTATTTAAGTTGTTCATTTTTAGTTCGAACTGGGTCATTTTCAACGTCATTGCATTTGTTCGCGTTGTCACGCGTGTAAAGATGCAATTTCGTACGTTGTTGCATCAACTCGTGACATTTTCGCACCTCGACGTACTCAAAGTCTGTTTCCTTCTTTCTTATTTACTTCGGGGGATGATTCCAGCAGAAATTTTCCTTCGTACGATATTCAACGATTGCAACAAAATGGCCGGATTCTGTTTCGAGGCACACGTTGCGCGTCGCACACAGACAAAAATTATGCAATGTGGCCCCTGGTCGGAAGCACACTCGGTGGGATTGTCACAGGGAAAGAGGTGGGTAAAGAGGCGCGGTAATTATTATCATTGGAATTTATGGTGACACCGGGATTACCCTTTCTCCGTGTTCAGTGCCACGGAACTGCAAGAAACTATTATTACCCTCGTGTTTCTTGTTTTGCCGTACCCCTATCCCGAAGGACCTCGTCCTAGGTGAAAGTCATAAATCAGCCGTGGCTACACCCACCCATTCACACACACACGTGTCCGAAAGGCATTCTATGTTCCAATAAAAAAAAAAAAAAAAAAAATATAAATCGAACGACACGCTACAGCGCGAGGAAAATTCAAGTATCGACGAGATGACTCCGGATAAGATTTCACGTGCTGGTTGTCATGCTAGCAAAAAATGATACACCGGGTATCTATAAAGCGATCTAGGCTGTAGTTTGATCGTAAGGTGAGAAACTCGGATCGTGTATATATATATATGTATGTGTATACTTACGACCCAATAAACTGCTTACTCGTTGCTGACGAAATTGACCGGTGACTGTGAGTAATGAAACGCAGCCTACGTGTATACCGCGGCTGTGTAGCAACATTATAAAATAAAATATTTGAGGAGGGTCGTTAATAGAACCAAATGCTCAGTCAGCGAACCAAAGGCAAAATGAATGTGTATCGTAGCTTAATAATTATAAATGGCCTATATCGTACGAGAGGAAAAAAGCTGATCTAACTAAACGTTTCATTCGAGGGAACTGTAGCTAAAGTTTTATTTAAACGTTAGGTAATTGTGGCATTAAAATACCCTGTTATAGATACGTGGCTATATAAAAAGTTGGAAAACAAGATCCTCCAGATAAATAGGAATGTTATCGTTGTTTGCGTGTGTGTATCACATTCTCGAAAAAAATGCACTTTCCCACTGATCTCGTAAGAATCTCGTACATATTTTCATGCGTCGGATAATTAATTTTTAATACTGTTGACACAGTTTCTATTCACCTCGATCAACTTCATAATACATGTCTAATGTATGTCGTCAAAAAAAATTGCAGACATACAAAATCTTGGCTGATCGGATGTTTCGTAAATGAAACGAACGCTATTTATTTAACGAAATGTCTCACGATCAATCGGCCTCGAAAGGAATTATTTATTCCTTTTCAATCCGATTAAGAAGTATCACACGAGAAATTTCCGTTTTGACCATCATGTTAGCATTAATGATACGCGATAGGGGCTTTACCTTCAGACTGAAATATCTATTGCGACGGAGCCGCGCATTATTAGCCAGGATTAACATCAGCTTTCTCTATAGCAGCTGATAAGGGACATTTGAGAGGATTCGCCGAATACAAAGCGAATATATAACGAACGCTAACATCAAAGAGATTTTTCCAATCGGGGGAAAAAGCTGCGATACCTTTCAGCGAGTATCAGAATGAATAAAAGATCATCAATCGACACACGCGTCGAACCTGTTAATCGCTATTTTCAGGTCATCCTTCTTAAACGCTACCTACGTACGTTTCAGTGGTACTTGCGTGACTTTTCAATCATTTTTTGAGAGATAGAAAAATTGTCTCGCAACCGAAAGATGCAAGAGAGACGAAGGGAAATTCTGTTTCTCGCTCGTTAATTTTTTTTTTTTTTTAAACGAGTTACTGAACTTCGCATTGGCGCTGAATCAACGGACGTACATCAAGGTATCGTACAAGGCGTCGGGGCATCGAAAATCTTGAAATTCGATATAGAACCCGAGATTCGGGTCGGCGGAACGCATTCATTTGTTCGCTGGAGCGAAGCGAAAAGTGGAAGAATTATTGCGGTGTGTACAGATCTCCTAACGCCTGAGGGATCGCCCAATCCTTTACCATCATCCATTCAAACCGATAGCCGAGAGAATCGATAGCCAAGCATTATTGCGAAATTTTCTTATTACGTGTAAGACGAGAAGCCGCGTGATTTACCGTCTTTGAAAAGAACCATCGAGAACGAGATCGCTAATTAAAGTCGTCTATATTATCAAGGGAATACCGGTCGGAAAGAGACCGTGTGTAATTAATTCCCCGCAATATCTGGTTACCATGCTACACGGATACAACTCCAGATATACCACGCGCGAGAAGGAACGCGATGGAGTTACTCGACTATTCGTGCGTAACGAGGTGAATTTACTCCGGAGCTGGCTCCTTTCTTTCTCTCGCGCTGCTGCTTTTCCTTTTTCTCCTATATATACCTCCTGTCCGTCTACTTCCGTGTCGCGATCTGTCTGACTTAACGTTTTCCATTCTATATTACAAAACCGACGGACAAAGATAACACCGCTGAAGATGTTTGAAAGCAACCTTGCGATATTAATTGACGAGTGTTACGAAAATTATTGAAAGGCAACAGACGGTATCTTTGACGCGTGTATACGTGAGTATGTAGGGGAAAGTAGGGTAGAGTTGAGTACACTATTGTTTTTCTGAAATAAGAGCTTATTTTACAAGTTTCAGAAACAATCAACATCGCAGTGTTTCGTACAGATAGATTTAAAAATTTCGGCCCGAAGAGTTTCAATATTTTGTGATTTAAGTGATTTAAGTGTTTTCAGTACTCAGGAATCTATTCAGATAAATAATATTTGTATTCTATAGTTTTTACAGAATATTTTCACCCATTCCAAATCCAAAGAACAATGGATGCACTATGTGTTACGGATGGGCACATGTGTATAATACAAGTGTTGAAGAGGGCGACAAATATTTTATTTGCGATTTTTGTTTTATTAATTAAAACATATATCTATATGTTAAAATGGTTCAAATTTTTTATAAATACGGTAAAAGTTCCTAAACTAGTAGTTTACATAATTTCTTACAATACAGACCAAATAGAATACCTTTATATTTATTAAAATTGCTAAAAATAACTGTTTTTACTATTTCTCAAGAAAAATAAAAATTTTACATCTACATTGCATTTTATACGCCTTTAATAGGTACCTACCTCTATGGGATATTTGCATACCTCTAGAAAATTTTATTTTCCCGCGAGTCAAACAATTTTTTCAAAAAAGTTTGGTCATTTTCTTCTTAATTGTATAAAGTCCAATTAAGAGATTTAGCCTTGTGCGAATTTCTTTTTTTCTTTTTTTTTTTTACCATTCAAATTTTTGTTACAAAGCTAAATATAATACATTAGGCACACCAGGCTTTACCCTACTTTCCCCAACATTTGAACAAAAATCGTACGTTTCAGTTTATAAAAACTTCCACGCAAGTTCCTTCTCGCATACACCGAGAAATAGAACTGAGAAAAGAATCGCAACGATTGTTGCGAATCGCGAGACGCAATTTATTTACTCCCGATAGAAGTCGGCAGCTGCTTACCGCAGAAAGGGAAATTTCACGCACAGAATCGCGTAAACACTGGTTGTTGCCGGTTGCTGCGAGAATGTGAACCGATAATTATACACTGTGCACGGTGGACCTGCGCGTGTCGCAATTAAGAGCCGCGACGTTTCGAACTCGCTGCTTAATTCCCCCGTTTAAAGTACACGGTCAATTATGTAAGCTCTCGTTACTTTCCCGATGAAAGCGAACGCGGTAGCATTCGTCGCGAGCATGTTCGAGCCATCGAACCATGTTTATTGAGCGCGACGAACAACCGTGAACGTTCACTAGCCAGGAAATCATCATGTGTAGGCTTGCAATGATAGATACCACGGGCATGGTGTGAAACAAACTACGTGGAATCAATTACTCGAAGCTAGCAAACTCTTTCGTGTTAGTCAACTCTTGTCTTCTCTTGCCATTTGATTTTATTTATAAAAAAATATCTTTGTTACTTTCAAGATTCAACTTTTAGACAGACAAATCGCATTTCAGACACTCGTTTAATGTCTCACCGAAACCGAGACTGTTTCTGGCTCGTGCTAACGAAGATCTTCCGACCGGTTTCCTGAATTTTGAATACGTTGCAGTTCAAATTCGCTGCATTCGGCACACAGAAACGTTCCATACGTACGTGAATTTATAACAGAGTAATTACTGGTAGAAGAAAGGAAAAAAAGAAAAGAAATTATTTTTCGAATTTTGAGCTGAAAACCGAATCGGGAATAAACGAAAGAGAGTAAAAGATTCGAGGCCAGAGAGAGAGGAAATACATACATACAATGTACATACACGCAAATTCTTCATCGAGTAAATAGCGAAAAGTTCACGCCATTCAACTCACGTGACACTTTTTGACTTCTTTTTTCAACAAGATAATTCTCAAATGACCTCTTCTCAGATTCATCGTGACGCCGATTTTAATATCGTCGATTCGCGATTACTTGCGACAAAGGAAACGTAGAGAAAAAAAAGATATACGATCCGTTTCGTGTGTGAAATTTTTTATGGAACAGCGCGAAAGGCAGAGAGAGCACAGTCCATTAGGCACGTGTTCCAGAAATTCGTCGAAAGATCAAAAGGCCGATCTGGAGCGTAGAAAAATTAGCCGTCTCGCGCGCGAGAGAGACCGAGCGATATCTCTCGGCCACGAGAGAGAAAGAGAGAAAGCGAGAGAAGGCCGCGCTGGCGCGGCGCGACGTCGACGCAACAAAAGTAGCAGCGATGCGGCAGAATTTAAACAACGCGAGTCCTTCGCTTGCCAGGTGATCCTCAAATGGTCGATACCGGTGTCCTTATTATCATGGTCCGTCCTTAATTCAGAGTTGCGCCATTGCGGCGTGTACCTATGCATGTACTACCATCTACCTGCGAGCAAGAGCTCGCACACGTCGAAGGAGCGAGAGTCCTTCGATTATCCGGGCCGGAGGAGGTGAAAGAGCAAAGGTTCTTCTCCAATACGCGACAGAACGTCGCCACGACATTGGCGAATCGACAGACGCATGCGTCGTCGCTCGACGACTCGCTGCAATTTTGGAATCTTGTCAACAAACATCTCACTGCGCCCTTAACCCGTAAGCTGGACTGGCATCTCACACCTCCGCCACTGCACTTTTCCTCGAGCGGAGGCGCGGGCAGTCTCGTGTTTGCCCACGTTGATACGAGTCTGATCGAGAGATTTATCGATGCCCCGCGAAATATGCACACGCCCGCGCGAAAGAGATGAACGTTGTGTTCAAAGTGTCGTCGTCGCGTACAGTGGATACATTCCCGTGCAAAGTGATCTTTTTTTTCTAAGATCGCGATATCGAGAGTATCTGTGGTTTTGAAAGTTCGTTTAAAAAGAAAAAGTGTCTGCATAAATTTAAATTGCAACAATTGTACAGATTTGGCGGGGGGGAATTTGAATTTTTGATGAGCTGAGAACACACGCGTCCACACAGAATGGATGAGATAGAGGCTGAAACCGATGAATCGATCGCTGCAACGTTCTCGAGAAGGTAGAGCACGACTTGAATCGAATGAACGAATGAATGGTTTCACAAATCTGTTTCTTTCTGCATCCGTTTCACTCTGTGATCAGTATTGGCTTCCAACGAATCGACATCGTCCTCACTTACCCTCAAAAGATCTATTACAGCGGGCACCAGATCTCAGGAAACGTTCACTTGGATCTGGACCAGCCAACAAGTGCTCTAGGTAAGCTACTTCGAAAGCAGTCTAATTTAATTTCAAGGGAAGTCACGATCATTTGACAACTTTTGCGAAGCAGATGTTCTGAGTGAAATGTTTTCAACTACGCTTTAAATTAGTTAAATCAAATATTCGTGAGAAGAGAAAAAGAGAGAGGGGTTGATGCGCGAGAAGCGTATCGTAAGTAATCTCAACGGCACTGACTGTCAGATAAATTTGCCGGTGAACGGGGCAACTGTAGTTTTAAGTTTCGTTGGTTGTCTCTTTCGCTGGCACCGATATATCGAAAGTCGGGATTGCTCGATAGACAGGCAGAGGGTACGTTTCGCCGGAAGACATTCGATTGGCTCGTTGTAACAAGCCACGACTAACTTGATATTTATTCTCGCGAAGTTTGCCCCGTGCTGTCGCTTCGCAATCACAAAAATTTCTTCTCTGTTCTCCAGTCGAACGCGTGCCAAACGTGCCATCGATCGTGTTACGTAACGGGTGACCTAAGAGACTTCGGCTGCCTCTGTATACACGCCGCGTTCAGACGATGTACCGCGTGATTTTAGCGTTGAAGAAACAAAAAAGAAAAGTCTCTCCTACGTTAAAAGAAATGTATCGAACCGTATCTAATAAAATGTTCCTGAAATGCAGTCTTTGTCCTTCCAATGCCTCTTGCTCGCTTGTCAACAGTGTCTTACAGTTTTACAATTTTCACAATGCGTACAGGAATCAGGCTCAAGTGCAAGGGAGAGACTCAGGTGTACTTCACCGATCGATCGGCAGGAATCCGGCGTAAGTTTTCGGCGTTCGAGAATTATCTTCACGTGGAGACGTATCTCGTCGGCGGTGAGTAGACGAGAGTAGCGATAGCAATTGGTACACGAGAAACAGGATGTTGGATTAACAGATTCTCGTCACGAGTAGATGGCAAAGAAAAGTCTGTGATAACCGGAGGCGTCTACCCGTTTAGCCTAACGCTTCCGGAGAACTTGCCGTGCAGCTTCGAGGGTCGATATGGACGAGTACGGTACTCGATTAGGGCATTGTTGGACGTAACGACCATTTATCGGTTTTCCACCAATATTATTCCATTCACGGTGGCTCCCATTCTTGACCTTAATCGAGATCCTCTCGCTCCCGTGAGTAGAAAGCTAACAACCAATGGCGATATTGCTTTCGCAGTGTGATTTCATTCTTAAGGCGCAGCCGGCCAATTGCACGAATTTTCGAATTATTTCACTCGCTTTTGTGCTTACGTATGTATCAATGCGAGAGAACAGTCGACTTGAAATCGATTCTTTCAAAGGTATCGATCTTTGGTATGGAATTTTTTTCTTTTCAGTTGCCAATAAGTGTCAAACAGTCCAAGATGTACATCGGCCAAACGGAACCGCTCAGCATGTCCATGGAACTTCCGGTTCACGGTTACGTCCCTGGGCAAACTATACCGATTAAGATAGTCATGACGAATCCCACCACCGTTGTGGTCACGAAAATCAGAGTCGTTTGTAAAAAAGTAACCCAGCTTTTTCTACAATTGTTCTTAACGTGTTCCTTAAATTTTTTTATTTTCCTTCTCTCTTTTATTTTCTCCGTTTTGTGCTTTTGTTACGCCTTCCTAGGGTGAATGCTGCAATGCCGTTGTCTCTTTCTTCTTTTTTCATTTAATTTGTAATTATAATTGTGTTGTGGCTAATAGTGTTATCTTAGACTGGCAGCATTGGCACCGGAATTTAAATTTGATAGAATTTTATTTTTGGGAGCAGCAGCTTTCGACGCAGCGTATTGCAGTAAGAATATCTGGGTCACGCTTCTGACACCTGTATATTGCTTCTTAGATTTCTACTCTCCCATCGGTTATTCTAAACGATGCGTATTTTCTTAGGTGGTGACTTATCATTCGACGGAAAAGTCGCGTAAGCACAAAGAAATCGTAGTGGAAGTAGAACAGCCCGTTAACAAAGACACCGACACGTACGACGTCACGTTTGACGTACCTGCAGTACCACCCACCGGGATGATCCACTGCAACATCATCGACGTTCTATATACGCTTAAAGTGAGACTGTTTCAAATTTAATACCGCTTCGCCCGACTATAAAATCGCAAAGGGAACCTAATTTCCTTCATAATTTTGCGTTAAACAGTTTGATACTTTATTACCTAATTGCCATTTCTGTTATTCACAGAGGTAGTCTATCATTCACAGTTTAAGTTTAACAATTGCGAAGATAGTAAAAAGTACTACGTTTTATTATTTTTTTTTTCTTCTTCCTCCCTTCTCTTTTCCGACTTTATCTTTCTCATCGCCAAACAAGTTTCTAAGCACGAAGAATATTGTAATTTATCGTTGATAAAAACTGTGATTCTTCGTTTCAACTTTTTGTACCAGGGTGGAAAGATCAATCAAACGACGGGCTTAATTTGTCGTCAGTTTTCAAGATTAATTCGAGTCACCGGGTACCCAGTGAGAAGAAAGATTCGCGTTAAAATTAATCAAAGAGCTAAAAAAAAAAAAAAAAAAAAAAAAAAAAAAAGTAAAAAAAAAAAAAAAAAAAAAAAACGTAGCGTTGCAACGTGTATTTACTTGGCATCGGTAAACGTGGCAAACAAAGTACTTTCTTCTTTTTCCCTTTTTATCCGAAAGGTCGAGGCCTGCGTAGACGTGAGCGAGTGGTACTACAGAATGTTTCAGAAGAACTTGAAATTGCGGAAATATAGTAGTCGGCACGGTACCACTTCAAAATTACGAGACCCCGCAAAAAACAGTTGACGTGACGGAAGCTTTTTCATTTTATCCACCGTGTGCTATGGCCAGAAAAGAATACGCCAACGACACGCCGCCGTTGAAAAACCGAGAGAGAGAGGAAACTGCGAAACCAAGTTTGTCTTGTACGTACCGCCGCGTTACACAATATATATACATACATATGTATATATATGTGTATATATATATATATATATATATATATATATATATATATACATATATATATACAGCCGCTACATGTTAATTACCGGTATTTGCGGAAACTACCAGTCGACGACGGGTTTACATTATTCTCCCGTGTTCGAGAGTGTAAATATTCCTGGACAGCTAGAAACAGCTCCACTGTGCTATCCACCTTGTCTGTCGTAATTAAAAGTTTCGTCGAAATTCCGAGCGAACTTGTTTTTCACACATCGGATTACCACATCGGGATCGTTTATACGTTAAACGATCAATAGCCGTTAGATCAGCGCGTATGAAAGCTCGCTCGTTCAAATAATACTCTCTTTTTATTCCAATCAAATAAAACAGAATTCGACATCCATTGTCGTGGAAACGTCGCGAAATTTCCAAACAACGTGAGAAATAAAATTTTCTGTAAGATCGCAGGATCTCAATGTCGATAACGTTAACTTGCCCAAGTTCCAGCTTTGGGAAATAATTGCGATAAATCAGAGTTCGCGAAAGAGTAGATACAGCAAACCAAAGAGAAACAATGTCTTTTATCATCGACGCAAAGAAACGCAATTCAGTTTCCGCTAAAAGGAAATATTTACAATCGAGAATTGCGATTCTACTTGAGAAATTGTTACATTGCAGTTCCATTCATTATGCGCTGAAAACACCTCATTGCCAGGTTTATCTACCCAGGTCTATTTACCTGGGCACGTAACTCTGGCAACAATAGCAAAATTAACTCGCATGTTTCTTCCAACAGTGCCGCTCTACGAGAAAAGTCAAATATATCGATCCTCGAAACCGGACAAGGACGATCCTACGGGAGACGATGGCGACAGCGATGGAGAGGTCAAACCATACTCGCCTATGTATCGCGTGTACACCTTCACAAAATCGTCCCAAACGGAGGATCATTAGACGCGTGTTTAATTTTTTAATTAAGATAGATAGAGAGAGAGAGAGAGAGAGAGAGAGAGAGAAAGAGAGAGGAGCTGCTTAATTATTCATCAAAGATTTGATATTCGTTAGCGATGTCCGCAACGGATTATAAAAAGAAAAAAGAGAAAAAAAGAAGAAGAAAATTATGAAGACCGTCGTTGTAAATAAAAAGCAATCGTTCCTTCCAAATATTTCACGTCGTATTTTAACCCAGCGTGCTCAGAAATGTACGCGTAAATTTTACGTCCAATTTCCTGCTCTATCGATCGACCGGTTGCCTTCGATTCCTCCCTTTCGTTTCTTCTTCCGCACACGCGTTAAGGGAAGAGGAAAAATTATTAGAACGAAAGAACAAAAAATATTCTTGTTCCATAAATTGTTAGAACGAGAGAATGAGTAAGATATTGAAATCCGTTGGGACCAACCCGCGCAGCTAATTAAATTAAATTCGATAATCATGCGGTCAACTCCTGAGGAAAGTTATTCTATAATAATCGTTCGGACAGTTGGGCACCATCGAAGTTTGCGTGTATTACTTTAATGTACAATAAAAATACGTTTAGTTTCTTCGTTTTATATTTATATTTCCCTTTCCCGATAAAATAAGAACAATATCAAGTGGATTAATCAATAATATTAATCTTTCGGTAATTAAAAATAGTTTGTTATTTGTTATCAAAAAGATTCTAAATTACGAAGAAAATTCCAAGATTTTTAAATTCTAAAAATTCTAAAAATTCTAAAATTAAGATTTCCAATTTCTAAGAAATTCTAAATTAAATTGACGGAAATAAAATTGTGTTTCTGAAGAATAAGGTAAACGAGGAGAATTCTATATATAATGCATATTATACTAATATTAATAAGAAACGAGTTCATTCTAGGCAGGGAGAATTTAATCCAGGACTCACAATAGAAATCAATAAATTCCAATCAATAATAATATTCACAATGACAACTAAATTACTAGCGATAATGCAAAACTGAAACGTCCTTTCACGTCGAAAATTATTTCCGCAAAAAGGTCCAGAGTATTCTATCGGCTTTAACAGAATTGAAAAACCTGCGAATTCTCTCGCTTCTTCTTTTCATTAAACAAACATACGTGTGTATTTTTTCCTTTCATCCATACAGTATACGTACGTTTTAAGTAAACGTAAGGAGAGAACGTGCAGAAAATTACTGGAAATCGAAAGATGCAGTTGAAACGTCGTACGGAATTCATACCGATTATTAAACGGTAGCGGCTTGTCGTTTCGTAATCTTCTCAACATACATACATACATACATACATATGCACAGGCGGACGGTCTCGTTCACGTCGCACGCTTGAATTAATGACGTCGTTAATGTGTGATTCAACAATAACGCGCATCGATCGTTGTAGAAATGCAATTACAGAGAGTAGCGGTGGCGGAAGAGGTGGCGAGTAATCAGTATACAAGACCTGACGAATGAAACAAGAAAAACGCGTGCGAAAGATCGCATCTATTTGTTGCTTACACTTAATTGTGGAGTAAATAAAACTATAGTTGATACCGTAGTGGACCATGAATGTTGCAAGCACTTAATTTGCTTTTTTCTCTACAATTTTCTACTTGAGCATTCTTTTTCAACGAAAATTTAATTTGATCGATAATCTATTAAATTAAACGTGCACAAGAATGGGAACGATTTGAACTGAAAGGGGCTTAAAAAAAAGAAAAAAAGAAAAATTTAAAGATAGGATAAAAATCTAAGGTTAAATGGACCAGTCAGGTTTTGTTCTAATTTTCTCGGGAAAGTTAGAAAAAGAACGCTACAAGATTTGATGAAATCTTAATGTCGTTTTAGGTGTCCTAGTTCGGATGTTACTGAATTTTTCAATTTCGCGCGAAATCTAGATCAATATTTATCGAAACATATCCATTTATAACTCAAGTTGACTATCAAAATGCATTGCATGCAACTCAATGTGATAGAATTGCTTTATACTAGGACGCATTCGACAAGGTGTGTAACTCTATCACTTCTTGATTTTGAGGTTGGTAACAGGCAACGATGAAACTAGGAGAGTAGCTTTAACTTTGAGAGCTTTCGATATCGCAATGGTGGGTCTTTGATTACGGGCACCGTCTAGCAAATGCTTGCCGTCTTTCTCTCTTCTCCTTCGACCTACGTTGCATCCTCCTCCATCCACGATGTGTATATCTACTTTGAAAGACCACATCATAGGTGGCCAAGTCTGGAGGTTCGGCTTAATCACGGCCCTGCAGCACGAGGTTATCCTAATTTCGTAGTGATTAAACGTTCCTGGCTTGTAACATCGGCCAAAGAGACGCGAAATTCACGAAAATTGAAGTTTCTTGCAAACTAGCTAGCATTTCCTTTCAATTTTTCCCCAAGGTTAACTCGCAATCTCGTTATCAATGCCAATCCATTAAAATAACCCGTGTAACTCAAACTTCGGCTGAAAAATTCTCTCTTCTATACTTGCTAAATCAATTGAAAATACAAATCTTTTCTTTAGCTTTGATAGAATCGCTCTGTCCTTAGAAATTAAAATTCACCGTCATAATTTTCCAACGGTTATTAAGTAATTGGGCACGTGTGGCTCGAGTTACGATGGAGTTATTATATTCAACGACACGTCCGCTAGCTATAATTAATTTCCAATTAAAGTAAGGAGTTGCTGCAAGGCGGTCTTGAAAATTAATTTATAATTTAAAGCTGTTGAAAGTGTGGTCGAAAGAAATTGCATATTATTCGTGCCGGCTATTGAAAACTCTATATATTTAGGCAAACAAAGAAACGGGGAAGCTCGTTATACAGCGGCGAATCGATCTTCAGCGAGGTCAGGTCGCCTCGATATATTCTTACATCGAAAGCGTCACGGCGTTAGAGCGTGCATCTAATTAAAAGTTTCTACTATTTTTATAGAACTTTTAGATGTTACGACCGTCGACTATCGAGAGTAAGAGCTGGCCCCCCGCAAATAACTGTCGTTCACCTAGCATTCGGAATTTCTCGTGTAGTAACTGGAAAAATTCTTCCAGAAAATTTCACTTCTGCCCCAACTGCTCCAAATTAGACAGACTAAAGCCCAGTTTCGCGTTAATTAAAAGTCGATGAAAAAACTGCGAGAACTGAACTGAAAGCAAGAGCACGACCGAGTCAAATAATTTTCCATCGCAGGAAAAATTTATTCATCGAGTTTCACTCCCGAAAGTTCCAATTTCATTCGTACGTAATTTATACCAAAATTCTATAGCTACGAAACGTGTAATCCAACTTCGATACGAAAATACAGAGAAGCTAGTTCGATGTTTCGATTTCGATTTCGATTTCTTGGCGGACCATTTCTTCCAGGGCAAAATAATACGAAAAATTCGCAACGAAAAACGATTGAAGGCGAAATACCGTTGTTTGGAAAAATCGAAGGGTAATATTGTACTTTATGAGGCAAACAGGCAATATATCCACCCCCTACTTGGCTGCTTACTCTTTTCTCCGAGTCTGTAGACTCTGAAAATCGGGTTTGCAATACAATAAGAGCTTTCAAGGTAGCGTGCAATGTTGGCACTCGCTAACCGAACGATAAAGTTTCCTCTGAATTTCCCGCAGCGCCCCTGGCAGAAGACGAGTTTACGTGGATTTGCTCCAATCAGAGTTTGTTACGTATACACACACGCGGCAGATCGTTACCAATGAAAACACTTACGGCGACGATATTTTCCTTCGTACAGTGATACCCCGCACGTACATCATAAATGACGAATTAATAATAATAAACTAACGAATTCCTCAGTTATTCTACAATAATCACGAACAACTGTGTCATCGATTTGTTCCATATCGGATTCTACGTTATTATTTTACATTCACATCGATTCTTTACAGCATTCCACGATTGTCATTATTCAACGAGATTAAGAAATTACGTGAAATGCGATTTATGTTATAAATTTGTATTGATTCGAGAACTAAAAATAACAGATTCTATTGAAGCGTTTGTAGTATTAATTGATTAAAGATTTGCATCTATTCAAACGAAATCTACTTCTTTAGAGTCCAAAAATTGAAGTTTACAAGTTTTAGAAATCTATCGTGTATCTATCCTATGTCTGAGTTAATCAATTCCCAACAAATTATCGTTTATAAAATCAAGTGACATCAACACGAATTCAACCATAGCCAATTAAGAATTGTAAACTTTCTTTAAGTCGATCGATCATGGTTAGAACTGGAATCGCAAGTTGAAAGACTTAAAAAAAAAAAAAAAAAGAAGACTGAAGACGGAGATGGATTCGCCGTGCAATACTAGGCGAGAAAACATGTACAACCCTCACTCGAGGGCTTCCCTCTGAATTTCAATAGTCGATCCTCGGAGAATCACAAACGCCTCCGCGAAGACTAAGTACCGCGACCGACGTTTTCATTTTCCCCGGGGAGAGTCGTCTGTTCAGCGGTGAATTTAAATCCTGTTCAACCCTTCCACCCCTCCTCAAAGCGTCTTTTTATGCATAATTCTCTGAAGACGCATGAAAACGATACAGAGTTTACAGGCGCGTGATTAAAACGTCTGTACTGGCCTCACCGGCAGCGAATTACCAAGGTAAATCACTTTTGACCTTATTACCCTCGCATTTTCTATCCCGAAGAAGGAAGACGTTTCTATCGTTGGTTCGCTCTCATTCAATTCCTCGACCCGCTTGCGGATGCACCACCGTGGCTTTGAGAAAATCTTCAGATCGGTGCTTTGTTGCTTCTTTTCTTCAAGGTGAACCTCTACTTCAAAAGTGTTTCTAATGAACGCTAAATGCTGGTAAGATTTCCGCTTCCTGTATAACTTGAAAGTATTTTGTTATCTCAAATTAGCAATTGCTCCTGTAAGTTTATTTTCCATTTAATAAACCAAGTTCTTCCGTTCCGTTGTACTTGTTACAACGTTACGAGTCCATTTACTCGAAAAGACGAAGATTTAACCGAAAGGATATGGCAATGCACATTACCGTGCAGTTAAGTTAATGGAAATGTAAAGCTGCTGAATCACCCACGTGAAGAGTTGTCGACATGCAATATAATGACAGTAATAATCGCGTCGACGGAAGATCATACACTTGATTGTATATTGTACAGTACATCTCAAAGTCTTGGAACTATCAAGAGGATGATAAAGTCCTTACTACGCCTGATTCTAACTGCGGTAGCAAAACACATCCAAGTCAGATCGAGTCCTATTGTGAACCGGAGAATTTGAAATTCTGGTTCAACTCTTCCACTCAGTGAGACTGACCATGATGGGTCTTAGAATTTCAGAGTCATAAGCTCAAGATATAACAACTCAGTTGTTGGCTAGATGAGTTCTACGACTATTATTATAGATATTGGATTGCGAACTCTTGGATGAATGTTATTACACGGAATTTTATTATTTAAATGAAACCTATTCCGAATTTTTGATCCTTCATTATATTTCTCGACGCAAACTTTATACTTTGGAAATCTTTGAAAAACATCCAATTTATTTTGCCGTTTTATCTTGAGTTATTAGATTTCAGAGGGGAATTGTGGAATTGTTGGCTACAACACTTCCCGTACCTTTGTGAATCTCAGACATTTTGCAATCTTTATTCGTGGAACAGTCGAGCATTACCATCGATCGCTTCGCTAAAACCGTCATTGTGCCATGGCACCCATAGGTGGCTACATAAATCCGGGACTTATTGAGCCGCGTAGTTAAGTACGAGCGGTTAAAACAATTAGCTGCGCTCGACGCGGCTGCGCTAGCCCCGGTGTAAACAGCCCTCAGCAGTAATTCTGTTATCGGCGCTTGGCGAGCATTCATAGGCTTAACGGGGCTTATTTCCCTTTCTCCCTCTTCTGTCCACACACTCCTCTCTCTCTCTCTCTCTCTCTCTCTCTTTTTGGCCTGTTCATCTCTATCTTGTTACTGACTGAATTAGTAGCCAACTTTATCATGCCCAAAATGCATCAATTTGAATGACATTGGCGATGAAGTCAGTTTTCGGCGTCGCGCGTTGCGCGTCGCGCATCGCGGATAAACAGAATTTATATCTTCTCCATGATTCGCCGAAAATTGTGATAGACGTTTCGATAATACGTCGTCCTTTCTTCGTTCCTTTGTGTCCAGCTGCTGGACAATCTTGTTTCTGATGTTATTGACTGTCATGTTAGCATATATTTTGTCTGCACTTGTATATATGTATAGTGAGAAAGTAAATTTCACCTATCACGTCCTAATAACCTCGATTATATGATTTTACTATTAACAAATTAGAAAAATTCAATTATAGAATAACTATGAACGTTTTACTCACACAATATAGTACAGGGGGAAGAATAGAAGGTCACGTGTAATATTCTCGAATATTTCATTTCGCAAAACAATGATATCAATAAATTATTCGACTGAATTACGAATTCGTACGAATAAATGTTCCGTTTGTCATTCTATTCTACATATGTACTTTATGTTATTATTAGAATTCGTTTCACACCACCGCTATGAAAATAGGAGGACGATTATAAACCGATTCGGACAATGTGCTGCGGTGGACAAAAGGTGTTATGCAATTTCACACGTGATTGTCTATGCGAATGAATCCACGTGTGCGCAAACAGTCCAGAATGCCCTCAATATGTACAGATTCCTCTGTACACGCGTATTATCCGATAACTGAGCACTCTAGATAATCATTCCTCTAGACTCCATTCGGAACGAACGTGTACAATTTGTTTCTTTCACAGTACGTTATTACGTGATATCTGTACAATTCAATTCTTACTGCGACCTGTTGAGATAGATACGAACGAAAAGAATGCTGATAAAAATTTAGAGCATTTAAATAAAAATGAAGTTACTCCTGCGGATTGCAAAGGCTATTTTTTAATGGCGTTGAAATAGAGTGATTTGTGTCGACGTTAAAAGCTCACGTGAATTCAGAAAATTCGGGACGTTGCGACAGCAGTTGGAGAAATTAAAAGGCCACGATAAAAGGTTCGTCGACATTTTCAAATGTAGAACAGTAAAACAAAACGTGTGCCGCCGTAAAATATTTTTATCGCTAGACTACCTGCCCGATCATTTTCATCAATGCGACGTTTCCAACGGATGCGAGCGAAAATTACAGAGAATCGACTTTTTTTTATCGTTAAATCTACTACTGTTAAAAAAAAATATACAATGATTCGTGTTGGCTGTAGAATCGATTTTGCAACGGTTTGTTGCGAAATTTTCAACGCCGTTCGAGCTTTTTTTCATATCGAACGGGAACGGATAAGTCAGAAGTACAACCGGATACGAGAGAAGTTTCTTGACGGAGACATGACGAAGATATACTGAGAAAAGAGAATGGCGATAGCCATAGACAAAGATAACAATTTCCGTAGAGCTCTTCATTATAATGAGATTATACATAAGATATTTAATTTTAACACGGCATGTTGATTTCAAAGAATTTCATTTAGACAGATTCAAAGAACACATTTTAAAGTTCGTTATGTGAAGCTTACTAATCATATTAAGGTTAAAAGATTATTATACAATCTTTTACAATACAAATCTTTCACATTTTTTCCTGCACTTTATAAAAAATAACGCTACGTGCTAAGTTTGATAAAATGAATCAAACTATATAAAGTTTCGATTCGTTAAAAAAAAAATGTATCATTTTAGAATCGATCGAATATATGATAAAATAGTATTAAAAATACACTGTATATTTACATAGTATAGCAATAGTTATCTCAAAGATTGTAGTTGCTACTTTTTTATTAGACGCTCGTTTAAACTTTAATTCTTTAAAAAGTTGAGTCGCGATTATCCTTTCGTTTTCCAAAGGGCTGAAGTTTTTTGCATTCACTAGTGAGAATAGCTGTCAGTTTTTTTAAAATTCGGCAAAGTATAATATTCGATATTCATATATGAGTGAAGAAACTGCTGACTATACGATCCGTACGAGCTTTTTCAATCCCATAGATATCCCTCCATTTCCTTCTTTCTTCTTCTCTCGTTTCACTAGTACGAAATATGTTCACGGATCATCGGTTTGATTTTTCATGAAAATATTACCCCGTACCCTTGCTTCGTTGCCTTACTAAAACTTTTCTATTCAATTTCTCAGAATTCGTGGATAGTTTTTTGTTAAGAATACATAGTAGTGTACTCCGAAATATTTTTCAATAAATAAAAAAGATAGAATTGCAAAGATAGATAAAAAAGGAATGAGACATTTTATAAATTGATGTTGAATCTCGACTCAATTATAGAATTAAGTTTCAATATCACCTTGTAAAAAAATATTCAGCTTAGTTTACTTTTTAGAAGCCAATAATTATAACATCTAAATGATTCGAAATTTTACATAATTATCTTTGATATATGTTCGTCAATAAAAATGGTGACATAACAATATTATTTAGAGTTGAATAGGTTTCTAAAGGTTTCAGTAAAAGAAAATTCTTAAGAAAAAGAGAACCATAAACGAACGATCGTTTAAAATTGAACAATTTATGTTCCTGCCGTCTCTGAACTCAAACAGACAGAGTGCAAGAGGTAAACGCGATTGTAGAATCATTCATGCGTTAAAAGATATAACGACATAGAGAATAAAGGCACAACACTCGCAGGAATCTAACCGATGATAATACTTAGCTACTCACCCTTGCACTCCCTCCTTCCTCGCTAGTAATTGATTCCTCTGGGTCTCGATATCTGTTGAAATCAGGATTCATCTCGGGAATAACCAAGAAATTCCACGCAGGAACTTCTACCACCGTTCGTAATACTTGGAAATTTCAGTTAATTTCGGAAAATTGCGCCAAACGTCGATCAGTTAATCGATTAATTCTGAAATGTTTTAAATAGAAATAATTAGATGTTTTATAATTGATAGACGTATTTATTAATCATAGAAATTTCGCTTAATTATTCGATTTATTTAGAATGATTTATAAAAGCATGTGAGATAATGATCTCTTCAAATTTTGGAATTATGTAATAAAAAGTTCAATTTATAAATAAACTAGTTATTAATGAAAGAAGCTGTTCCAAATATTTCAATATACTTTTTTAAAAAGTGTACCATAATAGAATGTAGAAGAAGAAAAATCTATGCGAAAGATAGGTACTTTATAAGCTACGTATATATATTGTTCTATATATGGATATAATAAGACTGAAAGTTGAAAGTAATTACAAGAATACTCTGTAAGACAAGAATAATTGGCATATACGGAATGACATTTCAGGAAGTTGCTACTTCCTTATCTATGAAACAAATCATTTGTGTGGGAAGTTCGTCCTCCCAAGTTATCTATTTTTTTTCTTGTCCCTAACCAACTGTCGATATTCTCAAAACGTTAATAATTATTGAAGATATTTTTTGAATCTGTCTGATGGATATATTTAAATCCACAAATAAGGAAACCGATATACGACACCATACCAACGGTCAGAAAATTAACTTACTAGTCGTTCGAAATGGCCGAAATTCCAATTATTCTTGCAATTCATATATTTGTTCTTTTGTCTATTCATTTTTCTCTTTTAACAAATGTTTTATAAAGTAACTACATAGTTATTTAAATTTACAGACACTCGAATCATTAAAAATAATAAAGTGAAAAATATATTACTTCCTATAAAAATTCAAATGAAATTAACCTATTTTATGCGGAGAAATTTATTCTTGGCACTCTAATTGCACAGTAATGCGGAAGAGTCTACTTTTCTTAATTTAAAAAAAAATATGTTGAACATGTAAATTATTCTTAAAATAAATATAAAAATACATAAATACATAAATCACTCTTTACATTCTTTTTTAAAAGATCTTTTACTTGACATTAATTAGTTGACATTAATTAATTGACATAATATGAATAAAAATTCTAATAAATAAACGCTACTTCAAAGTGGACGAGTCCATTTTTAACACAATTGACATAGAAGTGAAAATAAAGTGGAAAGTTCCACTTACAAGTTTTCAAAGAAATGCGCAAAATATGATCAAAATGTATACTTTATATTAAAGAATTCGGTTCTTATGCTTACCAAGAATGCTGTTGAAGTTTCTTATTCACAATTTTTATCAAAGATACCAATTTTTTAATAAATAAATATAGAGCACGTTACACCTGCACACAAGCTGTTTCCCGCCTGAGTTAACCGGAAGCCATCTAGCGGAGAAATAGAAAACTAACCAAAGAAATGTCGCTCTGATTGGTCGAATTCGAACCACAGGAAAAGTGGTTGTTACGTGCTCAACGTACAATGTCAACGGCTGTGTGGCGCGATGCTACGTGTTTTGATCAAAGAAATAATTTTTAGTTTAGGAAGAATTGATAATAGAAATGCATTTCAAACGTGTTACTCAAGTTCGAATGAATTAATATTTGTAACGATACAAGTGTTGTAAAATTCGAACAGTTGATAGGAAATCATCGTGAATCCATTTGTGTGGTTTGGATACATGTCAAGATACATATTTCTGAAAAGTTCTACGTCAATTTAAAGATGAGTACATCATTATCGTTGCTGGCGAGCCACGATGAAGTGGTTCGATGTATGAATGTACATTTGAACGGAGCTTGCGAAGAAGGTTCGAATTTCATGTATTTATTCAATGTCTTACTCTATTACAAACATTTTAAAAAAGTACACGTGTCTAAACTTTAGTATATTTTCTGTGCTCTACATTTTTTTGACATTTCTTGCATTCTTTTGTGCAATAATTTAATAATAAAAGTATATCTATAAATGCATGTAATATAAATTGTTATTTCATTTCTTTAATGTAATTTTATGTTAATTTAATATATCATTTAATATTACATATATATCTATGTAAATATGTATACATAACTATTTTAATCCTAACATTAAATTGATTATTTTTAGAATTTTTAAAATTTGCTATAAATCAAGAGGAAATGAGACAGAAATGGTTAGCATCTGTACAAGAGTGTCAACGTCTTCATTCAGCTTTAGAAAAAGCTCATCAAGAAGCAGCTGATTTAGATAGAAAATTAAGTCATGCTAGAAGACTTCTAGATGAAGAGAAAAGAAGGAGACGTACTGTTGAAGAACAAAGGAATTCATTGGTAAATATTATATTTTTGTGACCAAATATGTAACAATGTATTTTTATTACTTGTATGCTTGTAGGAAAGGCAAATTGCTTTGGCTAGAGATCTTTTATTTAATGATGGAGGAAGAAATTTAAATGATGAAACTCGTGAAAAATTGCAATTTTTAAATAATACTACATTAAATGGTCGTTATAGTAAAATACATACTAAGGATATACATCAAAATGACAAGTGAGTTTCTGATTATAAAGAATGATATTTAAAAAAGCATTAATTAATTTATTACTTCCAGATTGAATACTATAGCGGAGCTGGACTCCACTGGTTCCATTTTAAGTGACTTAAGTTGCTTTTCAAAGTCAGAAGATGATTTAGATGTTAGTGCAATGACTCAACAACAAAAACAAAAGAAATGCGAATGGAAAGAACACAGACCAAGTGGCGAATATTCCACAAAGAAGCGACGTAGTACAGTACGAAAATCTACAGAATTAAATTCATCTGATAGAATAGTAGCTACAACTACAGTAATGATGCCAAAAGATGGCAACATCACTGCATCTTCTGTAATTGAAGCTATACCAGGGGATGAGAATATAGATCCACAAGGACCTTTACATAATTCGCATAAAAGACGGAAAAGTGGCAATCGTAGTAAATCAAAGTTAACTTCTGTTGATACAAATGAAATTCAAATTGATACTGCTGTAAGTTATTTTTTGTTTAAATTAGATATTTTTCATATCTGTAATTTCAATTAAATTAAAAAAATTGAAATTCTACTATAGCCTTCTGCACCAAAAATTGAAGCTCTTACATCAGGATCAGATTCTGAAGGTGTTTTTAAACCTAGCCCAAACATAGGTGGATATACTTTAAATACAAAATCAACTAGAGGACATAACTTTATAGCAAAAACTGTAATTAAACCAGAAGTTTGTACACCATGTGACAAGAGGTAAAATATTTTGAAAGTTTTATTTAATATTGTAGATATACATGTAATTAACATTTCAGAATTCGATTTGGGAAAGTAGCTTTGAAATGTAAAGACTGTAGAGCTACAGCTCATACGGAATGTAAAGACTTGGTTCCATTACCATGTGTACCCACTGGAAATACGCCTACATTACGTGGAACATCAGTAAGTGTTTGAAATCTGAAATATCTACAATAAAAAATTATGACAATCTATTTTTAGGGGACAATAGCAGATTATACACCCATGGTTCCACCAATGGTACCATCATTAGTTGTTCATTGTATCAATGAAATAGAATTGAGAGGAATGAGTGAACAAGGATTGTATAGAGTAAATGGTGGTTTAACAGAGGTGAAATGTTTGAAAGAGAAATTCCTTAAAGGCAAAGGTGCTCCTAATCTGTCTGATGTTGATATACCTACCATATGTTCTACCCTTAAAGATTTCCTTAGGTAAGTTAATTAAAATATTTTGTTTAACAGAAGCGAAATAATTTATTTAATTTTTTTCCGTATTTCTAGATCGTTGCGAGAGCCGTTAATCACTGTTGGATTATGGGCTGACTTCGTTCGCGCAACTAATATTACTGATAAACAAGATGCAGATGCTGCTTTATACCAAGCAATTTCAGAATTACCTCAACCTAACAGAGATACACTTGCCTTTCTAATCTTGCATTTACAAAGAGTATCAAGTAGTCCAGAATGTAAAATGCCAATAAGTAATTTAGCTAAAGTTTTTGGACCTACTTTAGTGGGCTATAGTTGCCAGAAACCATCACCCACTTCTCTTCTTTCTGAGACAAGTAATCAAGTTGCTGTAAGTATATTATAAATAAAAAATTGAAAGACTAAATAATATTTATTTGATTTTAACTTTTATTTTTATAGATAGTGGAAAGTTTGTTAAAAATTCCTTCAGATTATTGGGCAAATTTCGTTAATCCTGAAAATCTAAATAATATTGGTATTCATAATCCTGAAAATCTAAATAATATTGGTATTCATAAACCCAGAGAATTACAACATACACCATCTCAAGAATCTCTACTTAAACGTAGTATTTCCCGTGGCTTCTTTAATACTCCACTTACTTCTAGGTTTGTATCTTACTCTGTATCTTTTTCATTTTAACTTAATTATTCATATTTAAATATTGTTGCAGTCGGACATTTATGAGAAAAAATAAGAAATACTTCGCATCTCCCTCTAGGGTAGCTTTCTAACAAAGATAGGTACGTAGTTATACTTACATCAAGGTACAAATAATTTCTTAATAATTGTTAATTATAATAACGTAAATAATTAATATTTTTCAATATGTAACGTGACTTTTCTATATTATGTTTAAAATTTTATAATATTTTGATATAAAATATATTTTTATGATACGGAATAATATTAGGACATTAGAAATACAATATCGAAGATTTGTAAATGTTAATTATTTATTACGTCAAATACTCTTTATGATGATTTTGAATATGTAAGTATATGCTCTAATATTAATCTAATCCCAATATTTTTCGAAAATAGAACTAAAATATAAATAAATTAAATTAAATTTGACAGTTTTGTTAGTATAATAATAATATTTTTAAAAATGTTCAGTTCAGTAAAAACACAAATTATTTTATATCAATATGGTTTCATTTTCTTTTTCTTGTAAGTGTATAAATGTTAGTAACAAAAATTATAAATTTAGCAATAGATGTCTTATGCAAACTAAATAAGCTTGAAACAAACATTGCTTTTGAATCCATTTACATTATTTTTTAAGCATCAAAATATATCTTTAATTTTGTACATACTTTCATTACTGCAATAATAATCATATCACAAGTACATGTTGCATTTAATTTAAAAGGATTTCTTACCCGTTTAAATCGAAATACTTATCTCAATGATAGCAAAATTAAATTTTCTAAATACTATTATTAAAATACGATCTTATAAAATAATATTTACGTTGTTGATCCTTCAGGTTGTCTTCGTACATGATTTTTCTTTTATCTCCCAACAAGATTCCCAAAACTGCTTCAATCTATTGTCTCCATTTGAACAAAAATGCTTAAAGTCTTGTATAAGCTTTTTCTGAAATAATTCATCGCCAGCTAATGTAGATGATGATTTCCATTTTCGACTAAGCATGTGATTCCATGACCAAAGGAAACCAATCTAGACAAATAAAAATTCATTTTTCTATCTACTTATTTCTTAAAGGAATCGTAGATACTTACTCTTTTATCTTTGCTGTAATCATCTTTGTTTTTCCCGCTAACATGTCTCGTAATGTAAGCTTCATGAGGACTAGGTTGATCAGAATTAATTGTATATCCTTTCTGTCCAACGTTTCGTCTCACGATGTTAGTAGCAGTTCGAGGACGTGATCTTATATTTGTTGTAGAAGGAATTAATATAAATGCATTGCCAGTCATATGAACATATTGGTGATCATTTTCAGTACTTTCCATTAGGCATGGAACAAAGCCAAATCTTTGTACAATTGTCTCTTGGAAAAGAAAAAGTCTTCGTACATAAGTTTCTTCTCGAAATTCTAAAATCAAACCGTTGATTAATTTCTTCGGTATTTCATCCTATACAGCACTTTAATTCATATTAATATAGACAACAAACCTTCAAAAAGATGTCGTTTATTCGCCATAAGACATTCTGTATTCAATGGTATAAAAATAGGTCCTCTTAAAGGATCACTTTTCAAAGTGAATGGTAATGCTAGCAAATCATTGGGAATAGGAACCATTTGAATTCCGCACATTTGAGCTTTACGTTGCCACACAAATATCTTTCCAAAATGAAATCAAGACATAATAGTTATATTTTAAAGAATTTGGCTCAAATTATCAAAAAGGTATACTTACCAGATCAGCAACTATACTACCAGATGATGCAACCCATTGCACTACTAATTCGTAAGAGTAATCTACTTTGTACATAGATTGATATCTTAAATGTCCCCATTCAATTCTATCGCTTCTATTGTTTATATCTATATCTAAATGCGTATGTTTATATGGTGGAACTGAAAAATAAAACGAATTAATAAAACTAAAAAAAAAAAATACATAAATAGTAGAAGTAACAGTATCATATATATCAAAAATTACCTTGCCACTCTCTATCATTCACAATATCTGATATGTCTAAATCATCTTTAAGAAATGGCGCTACATTTGATTCGTCTACAGTATCGCAGCTAGATATAGTCATTGGAGATAATGATCCTGGCAAAGAAGGTTCGCACCAACCTTTAGGGGTTTTTATTTCAACTTCTACCCATTCATTTTCAAAACTTTGTAAATCACCCAGGGGCGAAAAATAATCTCCAGCTTTTAAAGATATAAAAAATTGTATAAAAAATAAGTAACAAGTTGATATATAATCAATAAAAAATTTCTACTTACCTCTTTGATTTTCTTTATCTTGTACTATATGATATAAATAAAATCCTAGAATAAATGGTTTAGAAAAATCTCCAGAAGCATGGCAAATGAGCTTGTCTTGTATCATACCCTACATGAAAATTATGGAAAAAAAAAAATAAAATCAATAACTTTAATGCATACTAGAATAAAATTATTCTTACATTCATGATATTAATGGCATTCTCCACTGTTACTCCTCCTTCTATGTGATTATTTAACCATTGTACTGCATCTGCACTAACAAATGTTTGGCTTGGAAGAGATGGATGTTGTGTAAGGAATCCCACACCATTTTGTGGATGTTTCATTGTCTCCAGAATTTCGTTATTTGATGCAGTGTTTTTTAATTTCATCAATTCCATGTTTGTACTGGTAATTAAAATATTAATATAATAGTGTTTGTATATGTGTGATATAACTCGACATTTAGTTTACCTATCTTCGTTAGAATCAAAATGATCTTGCTGTTGGTCAAGTGAAAGAGGTAGCACAGCCTCACTGGCGGGTGAGATTCGACCCCTATCCATCACTTTGGAACCGGATCTAACAAAGACAAATGAAACTAATAATCACATAGCTTATATTGTGATAGTAATGCATGACAAAAAAACACAGAGCAATTAAAAAAATTAAGCAATGTCTAAGATTGCAATGTGGAAAGCAATAAAATTTATTTACATATGCATAATATCATTCGTTTTCTTTTTCAAATAAAAATATAAGGCAAAATATCTTTAAATAATATACATAGAGAAAGATAAAAACTTATTTTAATATTTAAATATAAATAAATGAAATATACATATTAAGATAACACATCATCATCAATGATAAATATTTATATTAAAAAATAAATTGAAAAAAAATTTAAGAGAATAAAACACCAACCTGTTTGGCACGTGGCGAGGAGTGTCGAGGCACGTGCGGGCAGTCGCAGCGGTATTCACTACATGCCTCTCCTGTACAGAGAACCCCGTCACTCCCTCACTCACTACCAATGTTTTCTACCATACAGAGTATTTGTACAATTATAATTACATTTCTGAAAATTCTTTGTAACATTTTACAACGTTAGATATGAAATAAATAGTACAAATGCTCTGTGTCTCAGTTTTACTAAATGATGAAAAGAATGAAAGCAGCTGAAAAGTATAGAATGAGCAATATATACAAAGATTGTTCTCAAACATTTACAAATACAGTCCCTTTCTATTTCAAGTACACCCTTCACAGAAATAGGATAAAGGAATATTTATCACCAGAGAAGAAGCATGTAACAGTTTTAAGCAAATTGCAAAATATCAATTGAATAATTTGGAGTTTCTAAGCATGCCCATAAATCTTTACTATTTTATTGTTTTATAAAACATGCAAATGTATAATTTGTCGGTAATTATGCGTAATATTGGTCATTCAAAAATATCCTTATAAAACTTGAAATTGCAGAAATTTTTCATTTTCGTTTTTTAACATATAATGAACTTTGTCTTATTATGAGAAATATTGAACTATATAGAATAAATCAATAATTATATAAAGAATAAATTTATAATTCCTGTAAAAACATAAAAACAATTGAATTTTTAATTTTTTTCAATCGTAATAATTATTCATGTCTTGCATTAAAACAATATATTTGATAATTAAAGATGCAGCATAAGAGCAAACAAGCAAAGTAAAAAAACACCACACATAAAATTTCAATGGATCTTATTGTAAGATAAATAGGTTGCAATCTATACCATTACACTTGCAAAAGCAACAAACAACAATCATCAATCTAAGCTTGTTCAAACCTTGGTCTCGGTTTCTCTGGTAGACGATTGCTTCCGAGTCGCTCCCTGAAGGGAGAATTGCCGACTAGATTGGTCTGAAAAGCATGATGAAGAGTATGGGTAACTGTAAATGTATGAATGAACTCATGATCATGAAGAAGTATATCACTGGTTTGTTTAACTGTAATGCATTGTTAATATCGTATTTAGAGAGCATTATTACATCGATGAAAAGAAAAGAAGATAAATAAAATATCAGCGTTTTGCATTACACAAAAGCTTGCTAAAAATTATGTGCGCATTCAAGGCAAATATCAAGCATAATTGCATTCATCGTATAATACGTTGTGTAAGCTGTCTGAACATCATAACTAATTTTTCATTAGAACTGAACATGACTAAAGAATCGGAAATAACTAATATATATAAAGATTAAAAAATAGAACATCAACATTTCATGGGTGTCCCTTATTGCCTGGCAATATATTCTGAAATTGATGGATAGACATGATAATGACTTCATTGACACCTGGATCAGCGTACAGGATATACCTGGTTAGTGAGGACAATCAGGCTCGTGCTGTGCCTGCGTCTGGTCAAGTGAGAGGCAGGATCTCTCTGAGAAACACCACTTAGAGCTGATGAATTCTGAAACATATCATGCTAAATACCCTCTCCTACTGATCTATTTCACGTATATCTCTCATGTAATTGTGTAATTTCGACATTGACACCCGCTAGCTGCAAGTTCAGAGACTGTTATTTAAAAATAAAATATTTCCATATTTGAGTAAGTTATAGCCATTGTAAGTAATTTATTGAGTGCCAAATAAGCTTGTAAAATACGTGCTCTTTTTTTAAAACTTAATCTGTATGTTACTATTTGTTACATTCTACGTATCTAGTACACCATTAAGAAACACACTATAAATTACAATGGCACTGATTAAAAATCTTGCAAAACAAAAATTACGACATAAATAAAACTTATGATTTTGATATCAAAGGAAATAATAAATATTCTAAACTAACAGAAGCACCGAAATAAATTGCATTACTGAAACGTTGTACATCAGGCATGCGACATTCAATTCTATAGTGCAAAAATACAGCGCAATGTAGTATAATATGAATCGTTAAAACAAAATCATATAATATCCATTTAAAAAAAAGAAAAAGAGAAAGTAATAGAAAAACCTCTTTCAATTGAATTTTACTCAATATTTCCTTCTCAATAATATTAACCCACTAAAAAAGTTCATTTTATATTTCACAATTACTATAAATTGAATTATATTATAAAATTTTTATATAAAAATTACCCAATTTTTATTCGGATTCGGGCGTCGTATTTTATTTGGCCACAGTTCGATGAACCGTAAAAATCCATCCAAAAGACAAACTTGTTCAGAAGTAGTAAGAGGAGTATATATATCACATCTTGATGATCCCTCTAAAAACTTTCGAGTCGCTGAATTGTGTAAAGGAAGTAAAAACACGCGAAATCTCCAGTATTTAAGTGCCTAGAAATTATTAATGATCTCAAAAAATGTATATGATATAATGAATAATATATGATATAAATCTTACCTCTACTAAAGCAAAATCAGTATGGCCCCTAGTACAAATATAATGATCTAAGTAATTCCAATTGTAATTTTCAAGTTTCTCTGTTGTAAAAGATACCCATGATATTTCGTATGTATCGTGATGAGGTGCATGAAATCGATAAAGATAATGAATATTGAATGGTGGATAAGGATGCCTATAAAAATATATCAAAATATTGTTTTTTATTTCTTAATAATTGATATAGAAATATAAATATAATTATAAAGAAATTTCTCACCTTGGCCGATATCTTGTTACTGTTATACAATTATCGAATAAAGATATTTTGTGAAATATTCTGCCAATACTTAGTAAATATTCCTCTTTAGGTTCAGATTCTGTTTGACGTCCACGCATTACAGAACTTATTGCAGGGACAGCACTACTACCAGGTGTATTGCTTTGATTTTTATTATTTTGTGGTAAAATAATTAATTGAAAACCCTTAAGAAAAAATTGAACAATTATATGAATTCTGTAGATACAGATAAAAAGAATAAAAATTATACTTGATAGAAACATGATTAATAGAGTACCTGTGCTAATCGTTGGAATACAAGCTCCTTAAATACTTCGGCAGTTGTTAAAGGCTTTTTATATATTGCTCGTTGTTGAGCAAAATCTGTGTTAACATCATCAGGTAAAAGATTATAATCTGACACAACGTAATCGTTTTGTAAACTTCTTTTATCAGGAAAATAATCTGTGGTAATCGGCAAACATGCTGGGATTGTCAATGATTTCCAGTCAACGCCTAAAAAATAAGAAGTAGAATATATATGAAAAGTACAATCTACATTTAAAACTACTTTAAATAAATAAGTAATCTATTTAATATATAATGTTAATTTCGTATCTATATAAAAACTAATTTAAATATTTGTAGCAGTTAATACAAAGTAGTATATAGAAGAAATTTTCACAAAACTTGTACAGTGCAAGTACATATTAAATACTCTATGTAACCAAGATAGTGATCATATTAGTGTAATAATATGTATTACCAAAGTGACTATGACTAAATACTAAAGCATGCAATACTAGATCTATTATTTGTAATGTAATTTAATGAATTCTCAAAGCATAACAAATTACGTTTATGAAAATAATACTGGAGAAAGTAAGTACGTATTGATATACAAATAAATTATATGGATAATAATTGCATAAAAAAGAAAATAATTTGATAATTTGTATAAAATCAAATATTACCAAAATCTATCAAATAATATATGCTACTTCTTATTAACATAAGTAAATATGGTGATTAAAGCAAGATGACAGAGTGAAGGATTATGAAGAATGAGAGAATGTTTGAAGAATATATGAACCATAAATATATTAAATTATAATATACAGGCGTTTCGTAACTTGTGGGTCCCACTTTGGGAGCTGATTGTACGCCTGAAAATAATGAAAAAAGTTCATATAAATATATGTCCTCCTTGTCTTCGTTTATGAGATATAATGAATTTTCTGTTTTAATTACTTTTACAAAAGATGCTCGAAATGACCACCTTGCATTTGAAGACAAGC